ATAAAAATAAATAAAATAAAAATATATAAAAATACGATATTAAATAAAAATAATTATCAATAATATATATAACAAAAATACTACCAAGATATAAAAATAACAATGACTTAAATAGTAATAAATCATTAAACATCATCCCACCAGTTAACTGTTTACATAATATAATCAGTGCTAAATAACAAATAAAACAATTGTACTGAACTATCAATTAAAAAAAAAAACATAAGCTAAGTAATTAAATAGCGAGCCAACACAGTGATTCAATTATAAACAAAAATAACATAAATATTAAAATAAGACAACTAAATATTTTAATAGCAGGGCACTACAGAATTAATCGAAAAATTAGCAATAAAAATCAGCTTAATCTCAAGATTTTGAAACCCAATTAGTTAAAAACATCCAGAAAATTTAAATCTCACAAGAGTACATAATTCAGCTGTGTGGCAAAAGGATCTGTGCCCATGTTACCATTACTGTGTTGACAGTAAAAGTTATTATCTATGGTCAACAGTCTTTGCCTTGTCTTTGCAACTGTCTATGCCTAGCTCTAGCATCTACGGACTACAATAACATTTATCTATGATATTTGGTTAAATTTTAACACTTTTACATGATAAAAATTATAAACACAAACTAATTTACTAAAGTTTACAAATATAATTAAAGTTATTACAGTATAAAAATAAAATAATAAAACTAGCTAATAACATAAACTATTGGAATACGAATAAAGGAAAATACTAAAGACAAGTTATAGCAAATTAGTTACATACAATTGGACTACAATCTATTTATATTCTTGTCTAATGCTGCCGGTTAATAAAACTAAAGATGGTTATTATGTTACCAGACAAAGTAAACTATAAGAGAAGGAAAAAAATACGAAAGGAGATGAACATAACCAAAATATGATAACAAGAATAACAAGGATATCTTGGAAAGTTAATAGCAATGTAGGAATTACTTCTTGCCTACCAGTCGTCTAGATCTCTTTACGTCATCAATTTGAGTTACCGCTGAATTCTGAGTGCGACGTGCTGCATCATTTTGCCGATTCGAAGAGCTCTGCTGCGTTGGGGTGACCTTTGTATTAGGAGCCTTGTTAGAACTCTCAAAGGAACCATCCATGGGGTACTTGGCTATTAGATCGTCCAATTCCTCCTCAGTGGAAATCTTCGTTCGGCCTCCCGAGTGCTTTACATAGATTGCACCATCAATTGTCCAGACATTTCTAATTCCGAAATGCTTACGGGCATTCTTATGTATGGACTGACGAAATTTAGTGAGGAATTCACACATTGAAATGGCAGACCCTTTAAACTTTGATTTTAAATTCCAAATCGCAGACTTAGTGCTATGATCATTAAAGTGCACAAGAATTGGCCTTGGACGGGTACTGGATTGAACACCAAGTCTGTGGCATTTCTTGAGAGAGTCATCAGTAATATGAGTTAGACCCAGATACTTGTGCAACAGTTGTAAAATTTGCTGTTTTAGGTCAACTTCAGAAGCCTCAGCTAATCCATGAAAAAGCAGAACTTTTCTCCGGTGATACATACTGATTGCATCGACACTTTTGTTGCATTCCTGAATTTGCTGTTGCAGCAGGCTGAACATGGAACTAACAAGTACCTTGAATGAATCAAACTCCTCCCGAAGCTGTAAAACTGTTGGGTTAGTTGGAGTAGTTGCAGCCTTCAGACGTTTCTCAAACTCCATCATCTTCCTGGTCAAGCTCCCTTCCAATTCCTTTTGGATATTCACAACTTCAGAGACATTTGCCATTGTAGTAAAGTGAATTAACCGAGGAGAGATAGAAAAATAGTAATTTTTATTTAGTGTGACAGATGTTATGGAGGGAAGATGAATATAAATATTTTAACTAGATTAAATGCACATTCCTATAATTGATAATAATGCTAAAACTTATTCTTCCAAATTGGAGTTAAAAATTAAACAGCTAAGTTAATTATACTTATTTTTAAATGTAAATAAAACACAAGAGATAATTTCAGCTGTTATCTGTTTTGCACCTACCCTCGAAAAAAAAAACGAGAAGAAAAGGTATACCTGACGAGAAGATGTGTCGTAATCCTTTATAGAATTATAATGAGGGAGTACCACGATAAAAACTCTATGCTCCAGAAGCAATCGGTTTGAAAACCGAATTTCAAAATATTTTATGAATCAGATTTTCAGATTCAATTAAGCAGATATGGATTCTTTTGTATTCTTTTCGTTTTACCCTTATTGAATATAAAATATATTAGGTACCAATATTCAAAATTTAACTTACACTAAGTTTTTTAGACAAAAATAAAACAGAAATAAAAATAAAACCGTCAAAAAACGAAACGTAGATAAACTACCTAACTACTAGACGTGTGACGCCAAAATCCCGGCATATGAGAAAAAGGAAACAAGAAACGTCAAACGTGATATATTTTTTTTAAAAATAGTATAATTTTATCTTCCATATCCAATATTTTTGAGGGTCTGAATCAAACCCTGGCCTAATCTTGATAACATAACTAAACTAACTGTAAAAAAAAAAACTTTAAAAATGCGTTTATATAATAATATAATTGTAAAAAAAATAATATAAGGTAATTAACCGATGATACGATATCCCACGTTCCTTTTAAATCTTTGTATCGTAATTTTTGCATTCGTTTACCACGCAACTAGACATATTTATGACAGCCAAATCTGTCCTACGCGCGCATCACCGTGGACCGATTCGCGTTGCCCCTAAACTGTAATTTTAGGGCCAGCGCACTGGTCCGTTTTAGTTGTTCGGTCGGCACGGTCTTTACGCTAGTAATATGTCAATGTTGATGAGTCACTCATGTTCATAAGGCGCCTAAGTGATCGAAATAACTTGAGTTTATATTAACTTCGAAACACTTGTTTCTTTATTTTCTCCAATAGTTCACATGTGCCGACACTTAACACACTAAGTTGCATCAATTTTACGTATCAAAATTCAAAATCCACTTCAAACCATCGATAAACGATAAAACGGAAGCCACTGTCCGTCGACGGTCAAGTTCCCATCAAAACTCTAAAGCACTCTAAAGCGCTCTAAGTGTCGGTTTTTATTGATTTAATAAGATTTTGGCTTGGATGCTTGTCTTTTAAGCTATGTTTTCGTTTTATTCGAGATCTTCGTATTTATAGATTTTTTCTTCATATATGCTGGCGCATCACATTGCGAAGTTTTTGGTAAATTTTGACATTTCAACCCCGCGGACAGTCAATGACGATAGCATAGATAAATAAATACGTAACAAGGAAGACGGTTACTTAAGTTCTTAAAGCAGCTACGCGAACAAAATAACTTGAGGCTTATATCAACAACGAAGCATTTGTTTCATCGTTTCCACTAATAGTTTACATACGCAAACACTGAATACATAAAATCGCATCCCGTTTACGTATCAACATCCACTTCAAATCGTTACATAAACGATAAAACAGGAGTAACAATACGTCTACGGTCAAGTTCCTAAACTATCCGTGTGTGTCTTTTCTCACAGATTATATAGTACTTATTCCCTGTTAACCCAAACTAAAATTAGAGATGTGCCATCTTGGAAGGAACTCGACTCGAGTTAACCCGAGTCGAGTTCACTTAACTCAAACTGAACACGAGTTAAGTAAATTGAATTGGTCGGATATTATATCTTTATACGTGGGAGAGTCATGCTGCAGTTATATTAGTAGTATAGTTGTGGCACGAATGAGTCGGTTCGACCGGGGAAAGAACACGCTCTCACAGAATACCAGCGTAAAATAGTAGCATAATGCTGCTGTGTTTCGTATGGTGAGTGTAAGGAATCGGAGACCCTTTTTACTGGAAACGAGGCATTCCATATTAGTCCTCATGCGTGATAACGCATCTGCATTTTGATTCGTAATCGAGGATGGATGTACATGTCCATGGGCCACAGCAACCACTAGCTCGCGGCCTTGCAGGCCGCGAGCCCTGAATCAGACGAAGCTGTAAGAGTCGCATAGACTAACAGCACAAACATCTAGATAATAGAGAGACAGTAACCACTTGTCATCAGGTGCACTATGTGTTCGCTTGTCCTATAAAAAATAATAAATCGAGTCAATTTGTCACAATTTATTTACGTGTTTATTCTTACAACCAATTCCGTTTTGGGCACAGACTAACACAATGCTATCTCATATGTTAGGCCAATTATTATTAAACTTGGTAGGTCGGAGTAAAATGAAAAACGTATTTTTGGTTTGCGTCTTATATTAAATATCTGAAGTATGTTTTTAATAAAACTGGCATTTTTAATTTTTCCATGTTGTATTTTATGCTACGAATAGGTACCTAGACGAATGAAAAACAATGTATCTATTGTTTAATGAATCAGTCCTAACTGTTCTACGAATATTTTATTAAGAAATATTTTTATAATTAAAATGTACATTTCGATAATAAATTTTGAAATGTTCAGTGTTAGATGGTTGTAATAAAATAATTAGTTAGGAATAATAGATTATATGTGTAATATATCAAAATTAGGCTGAGATACCATAAACAATCGAAGCAAATGTCCTATATTATTTATTAATATTTATAGGTATAGTAGTATAGTAGGCACGTACCTATATATAATAACAAAACAAGTTGTATAGATAATCTTTACAAAATAATATCACTTTAAATTTATGAGGCAGGTTTTTAAGTTATTAATTATTTAACTTTGACAAATTATTCTTAAACATATTGGTATTATATAATATATATGCATGATGACGGATTGTGCTCTCGCTTGCTCGCATATTTCGTTCAATTATTGCCAGCCCGAATTCGAGTTAGTGATTATCCGACTCGAGTTAATTCCAGTTGAACGCGAGTTAACTCGAATTAGTAAGTCGAGTTGATCTATCACTAACTCACTACGACTAAAATCTAGTAAACGTCAATCAACATTAATCCTTTGGTTTTGGTTGGTCCTGTACAGGTCCAAAGAATGGCCGAAAAATATGGTATATCTGAAGAACAGTACAGACTTATACAACAGCAAGCTTCTAGGCGTGCTGAATTAAGACATGAGTTTCTAAAACAAAGAACTAATCCATGGAAAAATGCCGCAGAAGCTGGATATGTTGTGAGTTATAAGTTATTATTACGTAATATTTTTTCTTTATTGTTTCTTAATGTTGTCAAAACGTAAAATATTGATGAGAAATTACATAAAGAATATGATTTTTTTTTAGTTTGATCCAGCACTTCAAAAATTCATGTCCTTGAAAGCAACTCAGTTTGATCAATTCAAGCCCAACAAGAGAAACAGTATATTTGGAGTTTGTGCTATAGTAGTGCCTATGTTTGTGTATGGATATTTTGTCTGGAATGAACGCAATGATCGTGAACAGAAGATCAGAAATGGTGAACTTCGTTACAGAGACAGGTTGTTTAAACTTGCTTAAAATGTAAATAAAATAAATTGAATCATTGTTAGGAATATAGTATTTATTATTGTTAATTTTTTCTCTTTTTTCCTTAATCATGTTTTGAAGCTGGCCACTTACAAAATTTTAAGTTTTTAAAGTTAAAAAATAAAGTTGTCTCTGAAAAGCTTTTAGTAATAGATTTTATTTGAACAATTAACCTAAGTTTTTCAAAGGAAAGAATATAAATAGGAAGCAATGGCTGATCAACTTCTTTCTGAAACCGAGTGTAAAATAATTAAAGCTCAAATGGAAAGAAGAGCAAAATATAGAAAAGAGTTTTTAAGGATGAGAACTGATCCTTGTAAACATAGTATGGAAGCTGGTTATGTTGTAAGTTGAGATAAATGCACTAAAATAGTTTTTTCTATTACTACTTTATTACACAATAATATAAAATTTTTGATTAACGCTTATGTTGCAACTTGTTGATTTACATAAGTGTTTATTTGAATTAAATTTGTGATAAACAGCATATGATGCAAGGTATTTTGGTGATAATTTGTCAAGATATATGATTTTTTAACTGTCATAATTTTTTAAAATTTTGTAATTGTGTCTATTTTGTAAATGTCTTTTGAATAAATAATAAATCATTAAAAACATTACATAACATAAACACTCAAGCCTGTCACCCAGAGGGGTAGGCAGAGACTATGGACTTCCAGTTTGGCACGATCTTGACATACCACTCATATATCTATGCATACATGCTCGTCGGTTAATGGTACTTCTAATGTGGCCCATTTTCAAAATATCACCAATGTGGTCGATAAACTTTCTTCTAGGGCGTCCCTTACCGACTAAATAATAAAAAAAAAAAAGCAGTTGTGTAAAGCAGTGTTAAATTATCATACTATTGTTAGTGTCTTTTACATGATTTTTTACGTGGTAGAGCCATACTGCAGCTATATTAGTAGTATAGCTTTAGCATGAATGGGTCCGCTTGACCAGAGAAGGACCATGCTCTCACATAATACAAATGTAAAATAGTAGCTTAATGTTGCTGTGTTTCTTATGGTAAGTGTAGAGAACCGGAGACCCTTGTTACTGGAAAGGAGGCATTCCATCTTAGTCCTCATGGTTGACAATGCATTTGCTTTTGGATTCGTAATCGAGGATAGATGTAGATGTCTATGAGCCACAGCAACCACACCATCAGGTGGACTGTGTGCTCATTTGTCACCTGTGTTCTATATAAAAGAAACTAGGTATCTAATTGTTTTCCTTCAATATTCATGAAAAACTAAACATTCTCATAGATCAATATCTATACATAGGCTTTCTACATGAATAATAGTACTAAAATAGAAGTTATAGTAATTTTGAAACATAAGTTATGAAACTGTGTGAGTTACAGACATATTATGTAATTTTTGTTGAGCCACAAACAAATATTTAAAATTTTCTCAATTGATATTAATGGTATTTAGGCCTCTCACAATATAGGTGTCAGTAATTTTATTAAGTGCTTGAGGTCATTAAATCTTTCTACTATATTTGCCTTATGCAATTTTTTTTATCTTTATTTTCAATCAAAAGGTCAATTCACAAATAACCCAAAAAGAAATCAAGAGTTGAGCAGTATGCAGAAAGTTTTATAACACATTAGCGATCTGCTTCTGCTTTGCATGAGTGATTTCTATATCTCCAAAATAGCGCCACCTACAGAGATCAACTGTGAATCTAAACCAACCAGTGGCTTACTATGACACACAATATATCATCAAAATTTGTCGAGCTGTTTGGCAGGAGTTCAGTGCCAAACACAAATATACACACACACACACACACACACATATATACTTCAATACCAACAAATATGATAGAGATAGATTTGAGATATGATATTTTAGTACTGGACATAATATGAGAAGTTTGAAGTCACTTAATGTAAATGAAGTAAATATATATCTAGTTCTTTGACTTAGGTAAATAAAATTTCATTTGTTAAATTCAATTTTTTTCAAATCTACTCTGCTACAACTGATACTGATATGGAGAAGACTGCTCATCATCTGCTTGACAAAATCTCTCACAAGAGTATCCATATTAAAACTAGATTAACTGAAAATATAGTAACTTGATTTAGTCATTGCTCATCTATATAACTTGTAAATAAACAATATGAAGAGAAAGGATCTCAAGTGGTAGCCTTATACCAGCAGATGCAGAGTTAAGAAAAGCCATTGAATTCAATGACTATCTAAGGATATGTGAAATTTAGGTTCTCAGGGCTGGACTTTATAACTGACCTTGGGGAAGGCCTGGGTTAAACTTAATTAAAACTGCAATTTGATAGCGATTGAGTCTTGAAAATGGCTTATTTTGTCTTGAGAAGAACCTAGCCCTGTAGCTGTTCATTGCTGCCCATTCTGTACTAATTACTATGCCCATGTTCTTGTGACGTACTCAGTTAAATTACATGCAGAGGAAAACAAATTGTTTGATTTTGGGTGTTTTAGACATGTTTATCTTCATATCTCTAACACTCCTTCCATGCTTGCCTTCAACCTCATCACAAAAGTTTGTAAGCGCCAAGTAGTCGACACGGAAGGGAATCATCATCAGAAACAGAAACTTTTTTATTCAATGTAGATTATAACAATACTTATTGAAAGTTAGTTTTTTCATTTACCACTGGTTCGCAAAAAAAACGTCTGTCCTGGGAAGAACCAGCAAGAAACCCAGCGGGACTATTTTTTTCCAATAATAGCTTACAATAGTGTTTACAATAAACAACACAAGACAAATTAGAAATAGCTTGGTAGCGATCACCCTTCCCAGGGGTTATTATCATTCATAAATTCCTTAATATTATCGTATCATCATCCATCATCGTTACAGCCCTTCACAAGTCCACTGCTGAACATAGGCCTCCCCCAAGTAATGCCACAAAGCACGGTCCTGAGCCACCTGCATCCATCGACTTCCTGCATGTCTTACCAGGTCGTCACTCCATCTAGTGGGTCGCCCTACACTACGCCTACCGGTACGAGGCTGCCACTCGAGAACCTTTCTTCCCCATCGGTTATCGGTTCTAGACACCACACGCCTTTAGACACCGCAGAGACTTCACCTGTGGATGCCTCGTGTAAAGTACGAGCGTAGAACCACGTCGGGCGAAACACGTCTCGTATTATCGAGAGTGGTGTGTCGATCCTAGTGTGGTGGTGTTGCGTGTTGTGGTACTGGGAGTGGTGGCCACGGGGATAGTGCATGCAATTGAGGGGGGTTGGAAGGTGCTCTTCAGACAGGGTAGTACACATTATTTTATTTTATTACGCGAATATGAGCAAATTAAGTTCTAATAACTTCAACCACATGGTTGAAAAATGCCCGAGTCAAAATAATGAGTCAAATTCTGGTTTGAACACCTTTAATTTTCTTGCCATCTTCACACCATTATTGTACCCTTGACCTCGACAGTCATCATCATCATCATCAACATCATTACAGCCCTTCACAAGTCCACTGCTGAACATAGGCCTCCCCCAAGTAATGCCACAAAGCACGGTCCTGAGCCATCTGCATACATCGACTTCCTGCATGTCTTACTAGGTCTTCACTCCGTCTAGTGGGGGGTCGCTCTACACTACGTCTACCGGTACGAGGCTGTCACTCGAGAACCTTTCTTCCCCATCGGTTATCGGTTCTTCGAGCTATTACGAAACTTCGAGCATAGCCCTCTCTATAGCTAGCTGAGCGACTTTGAGCGTCCTCATACGGCGAGCAGTGAAGGACCACGTCTCAGATCCGTAAGTCATCACTGGCAACACGCACTGGTTGTACAATCTAGTTTTCGGAGATTGAGGTATACCTGACGCGAAGATGTGTCGTAATTTCCCGAACGCTGCCCAGCCGAGTTGAATCCGTCGATTGACCTCTCGGTCGAAGTTGGACTTACCTAGTCGGACTATTTGTCCCCGGTAAACGTACTCGTCAACAACTTCGAGCTTAGTATTCCCAACAACTACCAGCATAGGTGTGACATGGACATTAAACATGATCTTTGTTTTGTCCATGTTCATCTTAAGACCTATCCGTTGGGAGACACCATTGAGGTTATTTTGAGCATAGTGCTAAGGTCCTCTAGCGATTCTGCCATAAGGACTATATCGTCGGCAAATCGAAGGCGAGTGATGTACTCGCCATTGATGTTAATACCGTATCCTTTCCGTTTTCAAGCTACTGGACTGGAAAGGATACGGCCTTTCCAGTCCAGTAGCTTGAAAACGTCTTCCAATGCAGCGGTGAAGAGTTTCGGAGATATAACATCACCCTGTCTTACACCTCTCTGCAGTTGGGTAGGTTTCGAACTCTGGTTCTGTACTCGGATAGCCATCGTAGCCCTACTGTACAAACACTTCAGCATTTCGATATACCGACAGTCAACTTGGCACCGCTGAAGGGACTGTAGCACCGCCCAAATTTCGACGGAATCAAAGGCTTTCTCATAGTCCACATATGCCAGGCAAAGTGGCAGATTGTACTCTTCGGTCTTCTGTACAATCTGCGGCAGGGTATGTATGTGGTCTATGGTACTGAAGCCTTTTCGGAAACCGGCTTGTTCGGGAGCCTGGAAGTCGTCGAGTCTGCGTGCGAGACGATTCGTAATGACTTTCGAAAACAGCACGTAGACGCGGCTCAGAAGGGAAATCGGTCTGTAGTTCTTTAAGAGAGCGTTGTCGCCTTTCTTAAAGAACAAGACCACCGCGCTTCTGCTCCACGCCTCCGCAGTAGTGGCACCATGGAGGACGGAATTGAAGAGCTTCTGAAGGACTTCAAGTACCGGTGTTCCACCCGCTTTCAGAAGCTCCGCTGTAATTCCATCCTCGCCCGGGGACTTGCCGTTTTTAAGGTGCTGGAGAGCCATTCTAATCTCGATCTCGCTCAAGGGAATCCTCTATGTCATTTCATACTGTGAGTGTCGTAAGAGATGACACATAATCTGGAAACAGGAGATGGGTATCAGCAATTTCTTGATAACAATTCAAAATAATACAAAACTGTGATAGCCAATCAACTTCCCAAGCATGGCATCTATGGTAAAGTTCCATACGTGAGGCAATCTATGGTTGGGGGAGGCCTATGTTCGCGAGTGCTGTTAAGAACGAATAATGAAGAGCTTTTGCGTTAACTCATATACTTTTGGCACTACAATATTAGTCACCATTACATCCTATCAAAATTCACTGCCGAACACAGGCCTCCCCCACAGCGCCACCGTGTAGCGGCGGTGCAAGTATATGCACTACCCATATCATCCCGTGGGTGTCGTAAGAGGTGACAGAGAGAAACTATAACGGGAGACGGGCAGCAGTGTCTTGCTAAAATCAATAAAAAAATAAAAAGCTGTATTTACCAACATGCCTGCCATACTACACTTGGCATATATTCTCCCCGCCGTAATGAATGCGGATTTAAAGTCGTAGAGGGATCATATTCTAACTAAAAGCATTACTTAAGCATTGCTCCATACTCAAATCTTACAATGCAATATAAGAATGGTGCGGCACGAAACTTCAGTCTGACCTCGCTCCGAACTTTAATTTTTTTTTCAATGGGAAATGCCTACACATAGTTCGTAGGGGCAAAGATGGAATTGTGGACTCGCACCAACTATAATATGTATATGAGCACTGTGTATGCCATGTCAGGAATTTGCGATCTCAGAAAGTTAAAAATAAAAGAATTTCTTCTATCTTTAACACTACGTCTCGTTACCCAGTAAAATAATCTTTACAAATTCTTTACTAAATATCTATAATAATAATAATAATAACCGTCAGGATGGCGTTTGCTGGGACAAATGTCAGTTTGTCCCAGCCGGATATAACGCAAAAACTGACGGAGCGCATAGATGATCTGAAGCAGAGAATCGCTGCTTGGGGAAAACGGATTCGGCGATATACCGAGAGGTCGACACGGTTCAACCAGAATCGTCTCTTCCAGAGTGATCAGAAGAGGCTCTATGAATCATTGGAGCGACCAATGGTAAGTGGAACGGGTCTAGCACCGAATCAGGCCGACACTGCAGCATTCTGGCGCGGCCTGTGGTCAGAGCCCGTAAACCACAGCGAGGGCCCTTGGACGGAAGTTGTGGCGAGTCAGTGTGCGGGTATTACGCCCATGGACCCCGTCATCATAACGCCGGATGACGTAGCTGAGGCGGTCCGTAGGGCCCCGAACTGGAAAAGTCCGGGGCTTGACGGGCTGCATCACTACTGGCTGAAGGGGTTCATGGTGTGTCACTCTGTGCTTGCCCGACAGTTTCAAGAGGCTCTCAACCAGAAGTCGCTCCCAAGCCTCTTCACTACTGGGATCACTCATTTGGTTCCTAAAGACCAGGGTACCACAGACCCGAGCAAATACCGCCCCATCACGTGTCTACCGACCATATACAAGACACTAACATCCATTTTGAGCGCGAGAATCACTTGTCACCTGGACTCAAATCAGGTGATGTCGCGTGCTCAAAATGGATGTCGGGGCGGTGGTCGTGGAACCAAGGAACCACTCCTCATTGACGCGGTCATTGGCAAAGTGGTGAAACGCAACCGTCGGAACTTCTCCGCCGCCTGGATAGACTACAGAAAGGCATTCGACTCGGTGCCCCATACATGGCTAAAGAGAGTCCTCGAGCTGTACAAGATAGACTGTACAGTTAGAGACTTCCTTGAGCAGTGTATGGGGCAGTGGAGTACGATCCTTTGTCATCTGGGCGAGCGGATGATGGCTGCGGAGAACCACATAAGGATAAGAAGGGGTATCTTCCAGGGCGATTGTCTGAGTCCAATCTGGTTCTGCCTCTCTCTGAACCATCTCAGTACCTTACTGGAGGGCTCCGGGAGGGGGATTTCAGCTACGGAGAGGAGGGACAAAAAGTGACCCACCTTTTCTATATGGATGACCTCAAGTTATTCGCCTCCAGTCGCTCCCATCTTATGGAATTGCTAAACATCACTTGTGAATTTAGCAATTCCATTGGAATGGAGCTTGGGACGGATAAGTGTGCGGTCCTCCATGTTGAAAGGGGAAGGGTTGCTAACTCTGAGGGCGTAGACTTATCTATGCCCGTCAACTTAAGGACCCTTTCCGAGGCTGAAACATACCGATACCTGGGTATGTCACAAAACATCGGTATCGATGAGACTGGTATGAAACAGTCAGTTTGCGACGTGTTTTATGCACGCTTGACCAAAGTGCTTAACAGCCTTTTGTCCGGTGTGAATAAGGCACACGCATATAACGGCTGGGTCATGCCTGTCCTCATGTATACCTTTGGCATACTCAGGTGGACTCAGACTGAACTTAACGCCCTGGATAGAAAAGTCCGCACTACCATGACGTCCCATAGGATGCATCATCCGAGATCGTCGGTAATGAGGTTGTACTTGTCGCGGAAGCATGGTGGTCGTGGCTTCTTGAGCGCGCTCACCATGCATAATCGCGAAGTGTGCAGCCTCCGTGATTACTTCCTGGCGAGATCGGATGATCCATTCTATATGGACGTCATTTCTTGTGATAAAGGACTTACCCCTCTATCCTTAGCCAACGAGCAATGGCAAGACCCGGCAGTGCAGAGCATTTCCGACCGAGAGACCGTATGGAAGGAGAAGGAGCTCCACGGGAGGTTCTACAAGGCTCTACATGAGCCTTTCGTAGACACAGTAGCCTCCCTCCACTGGCTACGCTTTGGTGATCTCTTCGGGGAAACCGAGGGTTTTGTCTGTGCAATACAGGATCAGGTTATTAAGACCAACAACTATCGGAGATACATCCTAAAGGATGGCACCGTCGACATCTGTCGAGCTTGTCGCCATCCCGGTGAGTCACTTAGGCATGTTATCTCTGGTTGTTCGGCGCTTTCTAACTCTGAGTACTTGCACAGGCACAACCTAGTAGCCAGAATTCTACACCAGGAGCTCGCTCTGAAATACGGTCTCGTGGACCGGAAATTGCCGTACTACAAGTACTTGCCGGAAGCCGTGCTCGAAAATGATCGCGCCAGGCTCTATTGGGACCGGGCCATCATCACAGACAGGACTATTCTTGCGAATAAGCCTGATATTGTGCTGATGGACCGGGCACAGTCAAGGATATTTTTGGTCGACATTACCATTCCGTATGACGAGAACCTCGTGAAAGCCGAAACAGACAAGCAAACAAAATATCTGGACCTGGCTCACGAGGTGACCGACATGTGGGGTGGTCTGCCGACCGAAATTATTCCTGTAGTCGTCTCTGCAAACGGGCTAATCCCAGTCAGCCTCTCGGGTCATCTGAGGCGGCTGGGACTACGTGGCGGACCGCTCCAGGTTCAAATGCAGAAGGCGGTGCTCCTCGATACCGCCCGCATCGTCCGCCGGTTTCTTTCCCTTTCCCCCTAACCCTCGGCCGTTTGGTCTCCCCTGCCGAGGGCCTCCATCTGGTTGGGCTTTTATTTATTTATGTACTTTTATATTTATTTTATGTTATTGATATTTATGTATATTTATTTTTTCATTTTCATTTATAATTATATATTTATAGAACCCAACCAGATGAGAAAACTATATAGATACCCCATAATAATAATAATAATTTATTCAGATAGAAAGTGATACAGAGTAGGAGTCAAACAATGCATCTTATATACTAAATATGTTCTTAAAAATGAACTTGCTTCCTAAGTTAGGGTAAACCCTGTGTTTTAGGTTAAGCAAAGCTCTTCCCACTTACATAAAACCTTAAATAAGATACACAAAATATAATGAAATAATACAAGTGACACAAAAAAAAAAAATAGATCCTTAGAATTTAAAAGACATGCACAGATGAAAAAAAAATTAGCAGAGAAGTAACGAATTGACATCTATGAACACTTATGCAAGTACTGTTAACAAATTCTCCGTTTCTTCATAAGACTTTAGTTGAAGCCATTTTCTGAGGGCAATGTTGCAGTCATGCTTATTCATAGAATATATATGAACAATTTTGTTTACTTTATTATATAAATATGGACCAAGAAAGCAAAAATATTTTTTTATAAATTTTGTGTTGGGCTTAAAACTGGACTTAATCACAATGTCTTTACGACGTTTACATTTGATTTTGTCAGGGTCATAATTTATACACTGATGCTGTTTTTTTATAACATTTAGAACAAATAGTTGGCGAACAGTTAGTACTTGGCAGTTCTTGTAGAGTAATATTGTAGGATATTGAAATGGTTTAAAAGTGGAGACCTTTAAAAGCGCTCTTTGAGCCCTTTCTAAAGAAACCATGTGCGTTTTTAGAGCCCCACCCCAACAAGAAATGCAATAAGTTAACAAAGATTCACACAGAGCAAGATACAGCTGTTTCAAAAGATATGGTTGCACTACATGTCTTAGATTTTTTAAAAACATATATAAGTTTGCGGATACGATTTTTTAAATGTTGAATATGGTGTTCAAAAGATAGATTTTTGTCTAGAAGGATACCCAAATACCTGACAATCTCAATTCTTTCCAATAACGGACATCGGCAGGAAGTGAGAGAGCTAGGATTTTTTAAAATACAGCTATGTGCACGTAGAGAGAAATCGTTTCCTGGTTGCGTCACATCACGAATGGAAAAGGTCAGATATTTGGTTTTCTCCGCATTTAAAGTTAATTTATTAGAGCACAACCACCTTTGTACAGTATTAAATGAATTTTGGGCAGCTTCAAAAGTTTTTTTCCAATCACCCTCTGCAAAAAGTAGCACAGTATCATCTGCATAGCAAATAGACTTTCCAGAGATGAGCTTCATTTGACAGAGATCATTATCTGTAATCACATTAACCTCATTTTTAAGATATTTTCTGAGATCTTGCTGATAGACTGTGTCCACTGAGGGACCACACTTTACAATTGTTTTAGGACTACTACTAAATGCTTAGCAATTCATTTCACGTATTCCCGGAATGGTTCCTCAGTGCTCACGTACATAAATAATACATTTCTGTCATCACAAAATATCTCTAGAATGAACTAAATGTCACACCGAGTGATTCGTACCTAACATTATAGGTACTTAAACAATTAAACCTATTTCAGCGTTGGCCTTTCAAACAAAAGTACTATGTAGGTATGTATTTTTTGAAAGTTACTAGCGATGTACCCCGCCTTCGCACAGGTGATATTTGGGTTCTACAACAGCGCCTAAAACTATCGCGGAAGTGCAAGCATTATAAGGGTCGATCAACTATTTTTTGTCCTACCACTGTCCCTGACATTCAAATATTTTTTTCTCCAAAAGTATGGTTGCGAATAGGAAAATTAAGTGTTTGCCTTATCATTAGTATTATGTTTAATACACAGGGATTAAGACTTGGTAGATAAACACAAAATTAACTGAAATATATGTGGTTGTCCAAAAGACGCAAAGTTCGTTTCTTTGTACAATTATATGTCCCCAGGCACTACTCATCTATAAAAATAAGAATGGTGAAAAAAATTCCATTGTCACATTAAAACTAGTTTCTCAAAAATATTCAACCTTATTTCATAGTTCATAAAAGCTTCCAATAATGTTTCCATTGGACATCTATCATCTAATCTCTGAATTATTATGTTGTCCCACATGTTACTTCAAAATCGTATGTCTATCGGACAACCACTAAGAACTTCTAAAATGAAAGAGAGATGGCATTACAAGTCTGCAATCAATAAAGTAATCAATAATAAAGGCGCGGCGATACAACCGCCATTTTGTTTATTGGAAGAATGTTCGAGTCAGTCGGCCGCAAACAACAAGACAAGTTGCGTGTGTTAATTGTCAGTCCACTGAACCACCGCATCAAAACTGTAAGTATCTAGATATTTCATTACAGATTGTATAAAAAAAGTTAGTTCATATTATTGGTTCAATGGTAAACTTAGGAATCAGTATAATAATCCAATAATTTTTCAATGAAAGTCCCTAAACTTAAAATGTGTCTCTTGGACAACCGTCACTTGGACAACTAAAATGGTTGTCCAAGAGACATTTTTGATTGTCCAGGGGATTCATTTCAAATGATTCCCGATTTATTAAGAATTAAGTAGCAATATTTGCAAAAAATAAATTCATTTTATTTTTATAAATAAATATAAATTTATATATTTATTTTAAATTACTATAATAACTTACAATTAATATAAAATATTTTTATTTTAGAACTAGAATTACAAAATGGGAATGTCATCAAAAGAAAAATCCAAACCTTATAGAGACAGACTAAAACAAAACCTGGAAAAATATGATGAAAGGAAAAGAAAAAAGCGAGTTACCATAAAAATAAAAAACTATTATCAGATCTTAAGACACAAGAAAAAGTTAACTGCAGGATCATTTGGAAACTGAGAAAGCAAGAACAAAGAAAACGTAAAAAAAGCAATACAGGAATTGTTGAATAATACACCTCCAAGTTCACCGTCCATACTTCTCCAGCAACCAATTAATCAGTCTTTATTTGCTCCCACTCCACCGGATAGCCCCGCAGAAAGTATCATTAGAGGCAGAAAGAAGGTACGTCGAGACAGAACAAAACTATATAGAGAGAATAAACGATTAAAAGAAGAAAATGAGAAGTTAAGGAAAAAATACGAAAAACATAAGAAAAGAGTTCAAAGAAATAAAACAAAATCTAAACAGACAAACAAAGAAGAACCAGCGAAAAAAACGAATTGCACATCTGATGGACAAAATAAATACACAGTATTATGTAATGCGATCAAGGAACGATATCAAAGAGTTCACAATAACAAAGAAAAGACATTTCTTAAAAATATATTCCGAGAACTAGGAAACAAAAGGAAGACGATCGTAAAAGAGTCATTGGGATTAGAAGGCAATATAAGGATTCATACAAAAGACCACAAAAAGGATAATAATTTGATTAAAAAAAATTAAAAATTTTTTCAATAGAGATGATGTTTCTAGAAATACCGCGGGTAAAAATGAAACTATTGGTAGAGGTACTAAAAAAGCTCAGAAACGGTTTTGGCTGGATTCGATGATCAACATTTACAGGTCATTTAAGTTGGAAAACCCAGAAGTTAAATGTTCATACTTTTATTTTACAAAAAAATAGACCATATTATGTGGAAAAAGTTACTGTCGATGGTAGAGAAATGTGTCTGTGCAAGATACATACGAATGCAGCATACAAGACTAAAGCTTTAAGAAACAAATTCGTATTAGAGACGTTTGACCTAAGCTCACTAATTATGCAAACCGTATGTGATGCTAAAAATAAAGATTGCATGCTTGGAAATTGCGAAATATGTAAGAACAATAAAATTAAACTGAATATGGACAAAGTTCAAGGAAACATACAGTGGTTCGAATGGGTGAGAGAAGAAGAAATATATATGAAAGAAGGTAAAAAGACAAAAGCTTTTAAAAATGTAAAGAAAGTAAAGGAAGACGCTATCAAAAATTTGATTACAAGTTTTTGAGAAGAATTCAAAATCCTAAAGGGACATGTGTATAACATGAAAAACCAGTACAAGAGTTTTCGGCAAAGTGTAGACTATATTAAACCCAATGGAGCAGTAATATTGGTTGACTTCAGTCAAAATTACAACGCAAAATGTACGGAAGAAATTTAGGCCCATCATTTTGGAGGATCGAGGCAACAGGTGACGCTCCATACTGTGGTCGTATATGTACACAGTGGAGAAAGCAATCACAAGGCTTTATCATTTTGCACTGTATCTCCTTGCAACATTCATCAACCGGCTGCCATATGGGCACATTTACACCCGGTTTTAGTAAATATTCAATCTAATTATCCATTGATTAACACAATACACTTTTTTTCTGACGGTCCATTTTCTCAGTATAGGCAAAAGGTGAATTTTTATTTGTCTTCCACGAAAATATTTGATTATGGAGTTCAAGCATTTACATGGTCTTATTTTGAAGCAGGTCATGGTAAGGGACCAGCTGATGGTATTTGAGGCTATATAAAAAGAGCTGCAGACAATCTGGTAGCGACTGGAAAGGACATAACCAATGCATTAGAATTTTATAATGCTCTAGAAGGGACATGCAGAATTAAATTATTCTATATAAAGAAAGAACAAGTTGATGCCATCAATATTCAGATTCCAAAGAATATCGTCCCTTTAGTAGGAACCACTCGAGTTCATCAAGTGTTTTCAAATATTCGAGGCCAAATTAAATACAGGGACTTAAGCTGTTTCTGCGAACGCGGATTCTGTGAATGCTTAAATCCAAAGCTTTACTATCCGATACCAGTTCCAAAAAGTAATAATACTACTCACAAGGTTTGCGATTTTGACGATAACTTAAGCAATGATAATTTCCCATTGAGTCACATGCTAACATCATCGCATGAGAATGACATATCATTCAAAGATTTTAGGACATCAGTATCAAAAAATATGTACAAACGTGTGTATCGTTCTTCAGATACCTCTGAAAACAATACAGATGAAGATGAGCAGAATGAAACTCACAATATCTTATCTGGATTAAGAGATTCTGAAGGTGATCAATCTACATTGAAACAATCTAACAACGTACCTGGAAATTATGATGATAAGCTGACATCAAAAGTATATGACAACCTACCTAAATTTGACTTAAGTGGACATTATGTATAAAGACAAAATAATAATTTACCAACGTACGATTTACCTGGAGGTGGCGACGAACAGCAGCCATCTACATCAGGACAACAAAATAATTTACCAGGACGTGGAGATTATTTACTAGTCAAGGTTTACGGTGCCAAAGGAAAATCGTATTCATATTGCTGTGTTGCTCAAAGTGACATTGAAGATGATGGTGAGATTAAAGTCACATTTCTAAAAGCTGTAAAACGAGGAAAACTATTTATCCTTAATCAAAAAGACATTTCGTGTGTTGAATATGAAGATATCATAAGGAAACTGTCAAATCTAAATGTAGAGTACAAAAGAGGTGAAGTATATTACAAGTTCCCGTGTAACGTCGAAGTTTTTGAAAAATAAAAGTCATTTTGCAACGACTCATTTGGATATGGCAGCTTTTTAATTCCCAAATAGTTTTTATGATTAGTGTGATGGTAAATTATTTTATTTAATCCTTAAGACTGATTGACTTTTAAGACTTGTAATTTTAAGATAATATTTTGAGATCTTTCGATGTCGATATGAAAAAGCTCTTTTGTTTGATTTTGGTGCTCTTTTTTGATCATTTTGGTTGTTTGTTTTAGTATTTAATGTAACAAAAAATACATAATTTACTATTATTGAATGACTCAGGAGTACTTAGCCCATTTTGTCAGAATTTTAATTTGAAGTTGATTGACTGACTTTAAGCTATGTTATAATAAAGGTTTCGAATTTGGTATATTGTTTCACAGAATCATACTTTAAGATATATTTGATCTTTTTAAAGTTTAGAAATTGATTTTAACTTCCTAATGTTGCATAATTTTTAAGTATCATTACTTAATTTTATATTAAGAATTGTGATTCTTTCGTGTAGTACTTAATTTTTTTACGTTAATTAATTTTAAGAAATATTTGATCTCTTTAATATCTTATGAGTACAATTTATCTTATATTCCTTACTATGAGTATTGTTTGTGCTATTTAATTCCACCCTTCTGACTTAGTTTTTGAAAATGAAGACTGTTTTGAGTAGTAAATCTCAAATAAATACTTTAAATTACCATCAATATCTTTAATTATCCTATTCTTTTTCTATAAATGTAAAGTATTAGGTAACATATCGTATAATAATATCAATAGTATCATATAACCATAAAAATGTCTCTTGGACAATTCTTCATGTCTCTTAGACAACTGTTTTGTCCCCAAAATCAGAATTAACAAAACCTTCATGTTTTGGACAAAAACGAAAAAAACTTAATACTTATTATAAAATTTGCTTAATAGTGTTGGAAAAAATATCTTCAATTATGTTTTATTATATTATACGTATAATTTAATGCTTTTATTGAAACTTATTTCTTTTATTTAGACGGTAGATGTCCAAGAGACATTTTAACTAAAAATAATTTGATAATAGTCAATGCAGTACTGATAATTCAGTGCTCTAGGGTAATATTTAACACAGAAATACACAAATAGACTGTTTATTTTTAAACTTAAGCCTTTATTTTAGCAGTTATAAATTAAAACCTACGGTTGTCCAAGTGACCGATTTATTGGCTAGTCATCAGGTTTTTTTGTCAAAAATCCACTTTTAGTCTTAAAAAGTGCGCTGCTGGATGAGAAATTTAAAAATTTGATAAATTATCTACCTTTCAATAAAGTTAAAAACTAAAAGTAAAACAACAAACATTTTTTTTTAAATAATTCTGATAGGACAAAAAATAGTTGATCGACCCATAAGCAAGAACGGTATGGCAGCGCATAAAATACGACAACAAAAATAATTTTTTTAAATACTAGCTTGTCAGACAGACGTTGTTTCTACCATTTTCGACGACCCTTTGTCATGTCATATTAAAAATCCTTAAATTCGCAAAAAAATTGTGGGTCACTCACGGGCAAAAAAATTATCCTATCTCTCAAGTTGGACCAATTTGCACACGGTGGGCAAATTTGATTAAAATCGGTTAAGTAGTTTGTGTTTTTTTTTTGTCCATCACGTTGTCCACACGTAATTTATATAAGTATATTAAGATTAAATGTTAATGTCTACTGAGTATCTTGGGCCAGTTTCTATCGTCTTTTCTAACTTATTATAAGTCTGTGCTCGACAACAAACACACCTTATGGCACGTGGTGATGAAGCCCTAGAATCTAGGGCCTAGATGGTAAATCGCACCATCTTATCAGAGGGACAGAGGGAGACAGACAGGAGATGGGCAGCAGCATCTTCCACAACAATAATAAAAAAAACTGCAGTTGCCAACCCGCTCGCCAAGCGTGGCAACTATGGCAAATATCCCCCCATGAGCAACGACACAAACAAACGGCCCCCATTCCCCGGCGCCCCCGCTATTCCTGGCTACGGTGTCGACCATGGTAACGGCGGGGCAGGGTGCTAAGAATCTCCGGTGGAGGTTCGGTTGACACCTACGACGACTCGACCTGGCAACATATAACGCACGCACCCTGAGGACTGACGAGAAGATACTGGAGCTGGAAGAAGAGGTAGACAAGTTGCGCTGGCATATTATTGGATTATCCGAGGTCCGAAGAGAGGGGGAGGACACGGTAATCCTCGAGTCCGGCGACTTGTTCTATCACCGGGAGGGCGACCATCTGTCCCAAGAAGGTGTCGGATTTATCGTCAACAACGTTGTAAAGATTGGGAGTGTGTCGACGAGGGTCGCGTACCTGATACTCAGAATCAGCAAACGGTATTCGCTGAAGGTCATACAGGTTTACGCACCAACCTCGGCACATCCTGACGAGGAGGTGGAGCAAATGTATGAGGATATTTCTAGAGCCATGATTTCCTCCAAAACCCACTACACGGTATTGATGGGAGACTTCAACGCAAAACTGGGCACAAAATGAAGCGGTGCTGGAACCGTAGGGGCCAGCAGCTGGCCGACTTTATGGAGAAAGAGGGACTCTTTATGATGAACTCTTTCTTCCAGAAGCGGCCCCGCAGGAAGTGGACCTGGTCGATTCCCAACGGTTCGACAAAAAATGAGATTGATTTCATTATGATGACCAGACGCCAACGGTTCAGTGATGTCTCAGTGATCGCGAGGGTGAAAACTGGCAGTGATCACCGAATGGTTAGAGGCACACTGAACTTAAACGTTAAGTTGGAGAGGTCTCGTCTAGTGAAGTCAACGCTCCGTCCCCCTCGTGCTCTGATCCAGAATCCCGAAACTTTTCAGCTCGAGTTACAAAACCGCTTTCAGTGCCTAGATGACTGCAATACAGTGGACGATATGAATGAAGCTCGTGGAAACTGTCCATGCGGTCGGAGCTAAGTTCTACAAGACCCGCCACAAAAGAACACAAAAACTCTCCGATGACATTCTTAATCTCATGGATGTTAGACGGGATATGAAGCTGCAGTCGTCAGCAGATTTGACAGCATACAGGCAGGACTTACGCAACTTCAATACAGCTCGTATTGAAGAAGCGATTGAGCGGAACCAGGGCTCCAAAGTCTTTGCCAGAGATCTGTCTGCCGGAAAGAGCCAACTGTCAAAGCTGAAGACTGACTGTGGCGGCATCGTTTCTGGGACACCTGAGATTTTGAGTGAGATTGAGAGGTTCTATGGGCAGCTGTACACACCACCGTTGGAGCCACACGCAAGTGTGAGTAACGATCCAAGAGCAAGTCTTATCCGACATTAATCCGATGACATCCCGGACGTCAGTCTGAGTTAGAATAGAATGGCTCTCTAGCACCTTAAAACGCTCCCCTGGCAGAACACCTTGCCCGACGGGAGATCTCCTCTTTTCCTACCACGGCCACAGTGGTGACCCCGACGTGATCTGAACACGCAACCAACAACCTTCGGAGAAACTTCAAGCTTCATCATCGTCACAAAATACCCCATCCATTCGCTCCCGAGCAGATATCGTCTGCAGTCTTCATATCCTGCAAGCCATCTAGCTTCACAAGGTTCATCGCAGCACTGGAATAGTAATGCATCCTGTTCCTTCAAGCTACTCTCTGCGCTATATAGTGTTCGGCACGGCTCTGAGCCTTACTGCTCGCCTCTGTTTCACGGCACTCTCGCAGATTACTTGCCTTCTTCTCGACTCACCGCAGACTACAAGGCAATCCACTGGCACTTGCTCGTCGGCAACGAGGCTGCACTATCGACCTCCGGTCTGAGCAGGGGGGGGGTGATGTAGCGGCGCTGTCGTCGCGCCACAAGCGAAACACACCAAAGCCTAAATCACGCTATCAAAATTCCGAATCATAAACAGTATATATAGAACATCTCCGAACTATCACACGGAGCGTTGGCCGCTCCCCGGGCAGAACACCTTGCCCGGTGGGAGATCTACTATTTTCCTTCCCCGACCACAACGGAAAGTCCCCGGGCGAGGATGGAATTACAGCGGAGCTTCTGAGAGCGGATGGAAAACGGTACTTTAAGTCCTTCAGAAGCTCTTTAATTCCGTCCTCTATAGTGGCACTACTCCCAAGGCGTGGAGCAGAAGTGCGGTGGTCTCATTCTTCAAGAAAGGTGACAACGCCTGCTTGAAGAACTACAGACCGATATCCCTTCTGAGCCGCGTCTACGTGCTGTTTTCGAGTCATTACGAACCGTCTCGCACGCACACTCGACGACTTCCAGCCTCCCGAACAAGCCGGTTTCCGAAAAGGCTTTAGTACCATAGACCACACACATACCATTTGGCAAATTGTATAGAAGTCCGAAGAGTACAATCTGCCACTTTGCCTGGCGTGTGTGGACTATGAGAAGGCCTTTGATTCCGTCGAAATTTGGGCGATGCTACAGTCTCTTCAGCGGTGCTAAGTTGACTGTCGGTATATCGAAGTGCTGAAGTGTTTGTTCAGTAGGGCTACGATTGCTATCCGAGTACAAAACCAGAGTACGAAACCTATCCAACTGCAGAGAGGTGTAAGACAGGGTGGCGTTATTTCTCCGAAACTCTTCACCGCTGCATTGCAAGACATTTTCAAGCTACTGGACTGGAAA